TTTCATTTTGAGTTTTCAGTTTTTTTTTTATCACCCAACATTAGTCACCACCTGCCACCATTTTCCACCACCGTCTTCCGCTATCACCACCCCCCACCCCCCCCCCCCCCCCCCCCCCCCCCTCCCCCCCCCCCCCCGCCCCCCCCTACCACCCCCCGCCATCCGCCCCCCCCCTGCCACCATCACCCACTTGCTACCACTTACCACCCGCCACCGTCACCCATCCACTCACCACCACCACCACCACCATCCGCCACCCATCTGTCACCACCACCTACCACCCACCACCACCACTCACTCGCTACCACCTACCACCCGCCATCCACCACCCACTTGCTACCACCACCTACCACCCGCCGCCGCCACCACCACCACCACCCCCCACTCGCTACTATCCACCACCCGCTACCATCACCCACCACCCACCACTACCACCCACCCGCCACTACCAGCTACCCACCACCCACCGTCACCACTTTCCACCACCATCTTCTGCCGCCACTTGCCACTACTTGTCATTTCTCACTCTTTTTTATATTTTTAAATTTTTTTAAATATTTTGTCAATTACCAAATGCGTTTGTAGTTTATGCTTTTCTAAAAATAAACAGAAAATAAACAAAAATCAATTTATAAAATTTTTATAAATATAAACTGAAAACGTAAATGTTACCAAACACACCCTTAATAATTGTAATTACATAATTTTGTTTTTTAAAAAAATAAAGTTTTTGTTTGGAATGTGGGTTAGTTTTTTGATTTTTTTAACTTGTAGTTAAAAGGCTTCATTTAGGATAGACTTTTTGAACTTTTTTATTTTTATGAGAGAAAAAATGAAATGATTATAATTTGAATGTGACATATTGTTTTATTAACTTTTCAACTTATTTTATTTTTTTATGACCAAAATATTAAACAAACCCATGCCAAACATAACCAAACTCTTTCAATATCATACTTGTCTATTTTGAGAATACAAATTTGATATAATTATTAAATTATTTAATTTTACATGAATGGCCTGCTGAATTTCTCTTTGACTAGTAAATAAATATATACATTTCAATGATACCACTTGCCTACTATTTTTACGAGAAACATTAGTCCAAATCCATTCTATATAAATCTTACAATATTCAAATGTATTTGTACATTGTTATTATCAATAATTTTTTTTTTTTTGATAAAAGAATATATATATATATATATTTGTGGTGAGTATTGATAATACAGTTTGGTCGGCAGGATATGGATCGGATTGATCCAAACACTCTATAGGTCAACTTTCCTTCGTCTTCTTTATCACATCCGCAACAAGTCCAATAGAAAGGTTTCAAAAATTAGAGGACTCCTTCATGTGGACCTTCCAACGATCTAGTTAGATGGGAATGTGGTCAGTATGATAACTTAGAAAGACAGTTGTGAGATGTCGGAGAGAAAGAGAGAGAGAGAGAGTATTACTTGTTTTTTAAACGTTTTTTAGAAACTTCCCTATATCTCTTACTAATCACTTCCTTATACATTCAAGTTGTTTCGTTGACCAAAAGTCTATAGTTTATTTGTCATCAGTCATGGTGGTTTCATTATGTTCCGGAGTGAGAGATTTTGTTGCATTTAATGTCATGATAACCTCATTTAATGCTTGGTGTATGTGTTTAATAATTTTGTGGAATCTTTGTTTGCTATGTGACTAACTCCCTACCTGACACATGTCTAAACGCCACTGAGCCTGGACCGGTGCAAGTTCCCTATTGGGCCTACTACAGAGCTAGGCTTGCTAAGCTTTAACTAAGTGACTGTTAAAATCAAAAATGTTTAATAACTTGAATTTTTATGATCCGAATAACTCAAATGTATCAAAAAAATATTGTTTTACCCAATAACAATCGTGGGTGGAGCCTACCTTGGGCCATGCCCATCAAGTACAATTTTAGTATACATTTTCTTGAGGGGTCAACCTGAAATGTGGCGGCCTGTAGTGCAAAAGGACGATCACGATTCTCTTTCAGTTCCATGGTCCAGTATGAGTACTTTGTAGAGCAGACAGTTTCATTTCATTTCTTTATAGTATATATTTTTAATTTTTACTAGTATTTTTATTAATTAATTAATTATTTTTCGGGTTTTTAAATTGAAGGAGGGTGTGAAATAATTGAGGGAGGATTGAATTTATAGGAAGTGTATTTTGGATGTATTTATATCATGGTTGCATTGACTCTTGAGAGAGAGAGAGAGAGAGAGAGAGAGAGAGAGAGAGAGAGAGAGAGGCATATATATGTACAACAAATGATGGAGGTCATCCGCACCAGCACCAACCCCTATCTGATGATGATCTTTTATTTCTTCATCTTCCTTCCTAGGTTGGTTTTCATGGCACCATGTCATGTTGGTTCATTAAGAGTACAAGTCTGAGAAGAAAAAAAAAACAAAACAAAAGGGAGGCCCAGTTCTCCCCACCACCACCATCTCCTCCTCCTCCTCCTCCTCCTCCACCATCTAGTGACCACTCTCCTCCAAGTAAGTTTTATCTCCCCCGCCCCTCTCTCTCTCTCTCTCTCTCTCTCTCTCTCATATAGAGATAGATACATAAAGATCCAGCTTAACCCAAACTTTTCTATTTCGCTCCAACATTCCTCACGTGTCCAACGGTTGCTGAGCAGTTTTTAAATATCAAACAGACCTCCCGAGAAGGAGATCGTTTTCTCTCTTTTGTTTTTAAATATCAAACAGACCTCCCGAGAAGGAGATCGTTTTCTCTCTTTTGCAATCAATTTCACTAACTAATTGTCCAATTATTTAAAGTGTGATTTCTTTGTTATGTACGGACATGCTTAAGGGCATATCGGTTGAAGTAAATTCTTCTTTTTGATCGATCAAAGCGAGACAGAAGGAGAGAGAGTTTTTGATCTTTACCTTCATTTTAATGTTGGCTTTTTGATTTTTTGATTGGATCTTGATGGGTTTTTAGTTGCAGGGCCACTAAATACCAGAATATAGAGCCACACAAAGGCAAGGAAAACAACATCAAGAAAGAACAAGAAAAAGAAAGCAGAGAACAAGTAGATTTGTGCTACATATGACTTGTCAAGGTGGTGAAGAGAAACCCAGAAACATGGCCTCATCTTCTGGCTATTGTTACTCTGATGTCTCATCTACTAACCCAAACATTCAATCCCATGATCTGTTGAACCACGAGTTACAATTACAAAGCTTTGAGTCCAACAACGCAGAGATCTACAACTTGACCACAGGCATGGAGATGATAGGGTTTCCTCCACCAAAGAATCATGACACCGACACCAACTCCGCCATGTGGAAAGGCTTCTTCGCCAAAACCAGCGGTGGCGGTGGTGGTGATGGGTTCAACAAGCCCGATTTCACACCCGGGGTGTTATCGGATAGTGAGAATTTGATGGTTGCTTCAGAATCAACAGCTTGGCATGAGCAAAACAGATTCATTGTTGATGATTCATCTATGAGGTGTGTGTTTCCATGTGAAGGAAATGAAAAGCCAAGCCAAGGACTCTCACTCTCGCTCAGTTCAACCAATCCTTCAACTATTGGGTTACAGTCCTTTGAACTCAGACAACAAGAAGATGATAGATCATCTGATGGGTTAATCTTTGCCAAATCCATGAATTTTCAGCAACATCAACACATGATTCAAGATGGGTATTTGGGAAAAGATTCAAATCTTGATCATCATCACCGTCACCATGGGGCGTTTCAGATCAGGAATTCAAAGTACTTGGGTCCTGCTCAGGAGCTTCTGAATGAGTTCTGTAACCTTGGAACAAAGCAAACAGACCCTAAACCAAAGATAAAGCCACCCCACAAAACTAGTCAGTGGCAGGATGAGAATATAAGCAGTTCTTCTTCCAAAAAGCAGACTTTGCATACCCTTGAACTCCTGGAGTTGCAGAAACGAAAAGCAAGACTGTTTTCAATGCTTGAAGAGGTATACTATACATACGTACATACATACAAACAGTCTGATTTGTTTTCATATTTCAAAATAAATCTTAATTTTGCTTTTATTTTCACCCCCATTCTTTCTTTTTTTTTTTCAACGACAATTGATATAAAATGTTTTAAATATCAGCTAATACAATTATGCATCTGGGTTTGTATTGAGATTTCAGACTTTCAACATCGATATTCCCTAATATATCAACTAATCAAGATTTTAAATAACATCAATACGATGATACATCTAGGCCAATATTGAGATTTTAGACATTCAATATCAACCAATCAAGGTTTTAAATATCAATCAATATGTATTGGGATTTAAAATTTTAATATTGATATATATTGATATATCGGTTTATATATTGTCATATATCTAAAACCGATATATGACAATATTGTCAATTTATATGGATCGGTTACTAATACTTACCCATATATCACCTGATATGAAGGTTTTAGATTTGGACTCATATGTATCGGAATTTTGAATTTTTAATATCGAAATTCAATGGTATACTACTCGATTTTTAACTTATATATAACTGTATCATGTATTTTTCGATACTAATACATATTTCGATAATCTTATTTAAAATCATGGCCGCTATAGACTCCTAAAAGAGGGCACTGTTGTTCATTATGAAATAAGGACGGTTGATTGATGAGGGGGGCCTTGCAGACTTGATATGGTGAGCTAATTGAGTGACTGAGAGGGCCTTTTCATTAATGCCCACATGGTGACAATTGTGGCAACTCCATTTAATTTCAGAAATCTCTATTTTTACCTCCATTTTATCAAACTTTTTGTATTCTATGCTGTAAAATTCTCAAACTTTCATTGACAAAAACTTGCAACCATTTGTTTTTCTCTTAGGTGGGCAGAAGATACAGACACTACTGTGATCAAATGAAGGCCGTGGTGTCATCTTTTGAGGCAGTGGCGGGCAATGGGGCTGCAGTGGTTTACTCAGCGTTAGCTTCGAAGGCCATGTCAAGGCATTTTAGGTGTCTGAGAGATGGGATTGTGGGTCAGATTCGGGTCACCAAGAAGGCCATGGGGGAGAATGATACTAATGTTGTGCCGGGGGGCACGAGAGGTGAGACGCCGAGACTTAGGGTTCTTGATCTGAGTTTGAGACAACAGAGGGCTTTTCAGCAGATGAGCATGATGGAGAGTCATCCATGGAGGCCACAACGTGGGCTACCAGAGAGATCGGTGTCGGTGCTTCGAGCTTGGCTATTCGAGCATTTTCTACACCCGTAAATCTCTTCTCCCTTCCTTTTGATATATTTACACTGATAAAATCAAGATGCTTTCTCGAGTATACTTATTTAATTCAAAATTAATTGACTACAAGTAAAATGACTTTGAAATATATTAGCGGAACATATTGACAATGTTGACAATGCTGATATTGATTAATACCGGACAATATATTAGAGAATGTTAGTATTAAAAATTTAAAATTTCAATACGTATTTGGTGATAATAACGGTTGATATTTAAATGGTGTACATGTGCCACAATACACATGTTTTTGGTTGAGGCCTCGTTTGGCAAGAAGCTATTTTAGCCAATTAGTCAAAAAGTTACTAAATTAGTCAAAAAGCCAACAACCCATACCAAAAAGTCAAAGATTCTCTTTTCTCTCTACTTTTTGCACATCTTTTCGTAATTAGCCAAAAAGTCATCCCAAACATACAAGTTTTTTTTACCTACCTTTTTAGCCAAATAGCTAAAAAGTTACTAAATTAGCCTGTTCCCAAACGAGGCCTGAGAACCAAAAGTTTTATCCAAAACCAGCGAGAAACACCCGTTAAAGTTGAAATACCAGTACTGAAAGTTGTTATGTGAAGTAGTCTTAATCAATTTGCTAGCAAAAACAACCCATCTTGTTTTGGAAGTATCTACCCACCATCATTCAGATTCCAATATCCATTTGTCATGTTGTTTTCAATCCTATTCCATGTGTGTGTGTGTGTATAAATTGTTTTGTGTATTTGATTCATGTTGCAACTTATTACATAGGACCCATCTCTCTTTCTCTCTCTCTCTCGTCCACTCAAGTGTTTTCATAGTTCTAGCTGCAGGTAAAAGTACAATTTGCAGTATGGAATGTTAAAAGTTGTAAAGTAGTGTTTGTGTGATTGATGAAAATTGTGCAGGTACCCAAGTGATGTGGATAAGCACATTTTAGCCCGCCAAACAGGCCTTTCAAGAAGCCAGGTATGTCCACATCCAGTGGCGGAGCCACCATGTGACCGGGGGGTCACGTGCCCCCGGAAATTTTTTTTTTTTTCATATGTATATAATAAAATTTTAAACAAAAATAGTATCTAACATAAAATATTAAGGTATTTTTAAATTTATGAAAACAATAGTGATTGCTCTATTGAAAATGAAATGACTACAACAAATTATATTTTTATATATAAAAATATTGTGAAAAAAAGCTCAATATAAAGATAATATCTATCATTATTGATATGCAAATATAATTAATTTCATTATATTTACGTAAAAATTACTAGAGTATTAGTTATATTTGCATATAGAGTTCACTTTTATATGTTTTACTATTTGTTGGTGGTATCATATATATGTCAATAATGATGTGATATCATTATTATATGAAATTTTTACTCAAATTTTGTAAAAATTTGATTTATCTTACCATTATATAATTTATTTTAAGACTTAAATATATAATTTTTTTACATTGTCCATGATACACTAGTTACACGCAATACTTTTTTTTTTTTATTTTATTCGAAATTAATTGTAAAATTTTATGTGAAATACTTTTGTAATAATTTATTTAAGTTTTTGTACTTAATATTAATTCAAAAATTATTATTATCTTCTTATTGTTGTTATGAAAAAAAAAAATTAAAGTTGTAATCAATAAGTGTCCCTTCTGATTTAGTTTCCTAGTTCCGCCACTGTCCACATCCATCTCTCTACTATTACCCGTTAACAATTTCATGAAAAAAAATAACAATTCAGTATAAATTTAAAAGAAAAGTATTTAAATTAATAGAAAAATTTATAAGTTATTTAAATTAATAGTAAAATTTATAGTAAGTTTTAAAACTTAAAGTGTTGATTTTTTATTTATTTATAAATTTGTAATTATTTTGAAAAGGTACACTGAATTGTAATTTCTCCAAATATTTATATATTGAATTTGTATACAACAAATTCAACCAAAATGATGTGGAACTGAATTTTTTTTAAAAAACATATATATTTATAATCATTTTTTTTTTGTTTAGAAAATTTATTTAGAATTATGTAACGTTGACATTTTTAAAATTACCGCTCTCATGTATACTTGTATTTATTGTTTCAAAAATAACACTTCGATATTATTCTATCCCTTTTTTTTTTCTTTTTTTCTTTCTTCTTTTTAGCAAATTTTTTTCATTTTCCATAATATATAATTAGGCTTATACATACTTTCTATATTCCATTTTGATAGTCTTTTTTGAAATTCTAACTTTTTAAGTACATATGTAATCATTACGCTGGATATAAATTTTAAAGCATTAATTCCATGAAATAATGATTCAGTGTAAGTTTAAAAGAAAAGTGTTCAGATTAATAGTATAATTTACTCCTACAAGTTTTAATAATTAAAGTATTAATTTTTTTATAAAATTATAATTATTTTGAAAAGGTACCATTGAATTGTAATTTCTCTAAATATTTATATACTGAATTTTTATACATAAAATTCAACCAGAATGATGTGGAATTGAAATTAATTTTTTTTAAATTTATAATCAATTTTTTTTATCTAGAAAATTTATTCAGAATTATGTAACGTTGACATTTTTAAATTATCGCTTGCATGTATACTTTGCTTATACATACCCTCTATGTCCCATTTTGATAGTCGTTTTTTGAAATTCTAATTTTTTAAGTGCACAGGCCGGCCTTGAGGGTAGGCCAAAGAGGCCTGCGCCTTGGGTTCCCAGATTTGAGCTAAAAATAGGGCTCTAAAATATGATTTTATGTTTTAGATATAAAAAAAAAAATTCAAATACTATAAACCCAATTGTATATGGGGCCTAAAAAAACAAAATATATCATGACAAATTAGAGGCTCAACTGACATGGGGCAAAAAACAAGAAACACATTATAATTTATAATACCCACTGAGGCTAAGAACATGGGTCACTGAAAGAAAATAAACATTAGAAAATTTCTGAAGTATATTAGAAAATTTCTGGAAGTATAAACATTAGAAAATTTCTGAAAATTAGAAAATTTTTGGATTTGTGATTATATAGAGTACTCATGCCTCCTAGGAAGTATTTTTTTGGATGTGAAAAAAGGAAAAAGAAGCAAAAATTAGAAAATTTTATTCAATCTCAATTGGGAGCGCTTGATAAAGTTTTTGGTAGCAAGAAACAAATAAAAAGTTCATGTTTGGTTGATGAAGAAGTTGTTGTAAGTAAATTTTTTTGTGACTACAAATAAATAAAAAAATTATTGTAACTTATCGTTTTATCCATCAACCTTTTTTTTTTTTTTTTTTTATGTAAGAAATGCCCAATTTCCGAAGGTCGCCTTGGGCCCCTTAAATCTTAGGACTGTAAGTACATATGTAATCATTACATTAATTCCTAAAATACCCCATTTATTCTCATTTTTAAATATATTTATAATTAATTACAATAGACAATTTTTAAAAAAATTAAATTTAAAGCTTTAATTTTTTTTAAAATAGACATTCATTTTGGAACAACTAAAAATAGAATGATAGATAAATAAAATGAGAGGATGGGAGTATAACATGAAGGGTTTCAAATTTAAGTTTGAGAGAATTTGAACACATGCATAAAGTAATGAATTTGGTTAATGTTATTTCATGTTTGTACAGGTATCAAATTGGTTCATTAACGCAAGAGTGAGGCTATGGAAACCCATGGTGGAAGAGATGTACTTCGAAGAAACAAAAGAACAACAACATAACAACATCAACGTGGCCTCCTCAGATGACAACAACAATGGCCGGATCCCTGACCAAACCCATCCCGACGATCGAAAACCCACACCAAACCAAGTCGTTCAGATCGATTCCGAGTGTCTCTCTTCCATCATCAATAACAACCCAGAAAAAAATGACACAAATCACACTAAAAACCCTCCAAATCAGCCGCCTCACCACCCCCACCACCCCCACCACAGTTTTGGTAGAGTCGCCGACACGTTTAGTGCTGCGGAGTTGAACTTCTCAACCTACAACCACCAGGGTGGTGGTGGTGGTGGTGGTGGTGTGACTTTGACGTTGGGATTGCAGCAGCACGGTGGGGGTGGGGTGAGCTTAGCGTTCTCGCCGCCATCTCAAAACTCTCTTTTCTATGGTAGAGATCATATGGAAGAATGCCAGCAAGTTCAGTATTCAATCTTGGATGGTGAAGTTCAGAATTTGCCTTACAGGAATTTAATGGGTGCGCAATTGCTTCATGACCTGGCTGGATAGAAAAAAGTTGACAAGAAAAGCATTGATCCGAAGCTAATATCAGACAACATCAATTGATATATTGATCATGAATGTTCATATCAAAAGTCGAAAATACTAATACGTATCGATCGGTGTTTAAAATCAGGTGATGATGTTTGATGATAGTAGATAACCAATTGGGGGAGCAGATAGAAAGTGTTTGATACAATTATATACATAGAACTATATATAGTAGTTAACTAGATATATATACATACAATGATAGTTACTTTCATGGCTGGTAGTTAGTTAATTCCCATGCTTTTTTTAGTTGGAAGTTGGAACTATATTTTGTTTACTCTGAGGTTGAATATTGGAATTTCCGTTGATTTGATGCAAGAATATCCTTATGATTGATGCAAGAATATACATATATAATTTTTTTTACTTTTTTAATTTAATCTTTTGAGTAGCTTATGTAATTGAAAAAACAAATAATTAATCGAACTCTTATATGTTCTCTGTCTCAAAACACTCATAATTATTGAATTATATCTCAATATTTTTGTATCTCATTATCACATAATCCAACGGTAATGAGTCTATTGAGACAAAATGATAGACAAACTTGGGAATAGAATATTTGACTATTGTAAATAAGCCTTTGTGAGTAGTCACATAATATTTGTCTCAAAATATATATGTCTTTAGCTTTAAAACACTCACAATTATTATATTATATATCTAGATTAACGTATTTTTTTGTCACATAATTCAACAATTATGAGTGTTTTAAAATTGGGCATAGAGTATCTCAACTCTTACCGACAAACCTTTGTGAGTGAGCCACCAATTCCCTATTTTTAAAATTTTTGTATATATGTTTATAGTTTTTGTATGAGACCACTTGAAATACATCAAATACAGGAGAGGAACAAGAATTTTAAAAAATAAATTTGTGTGCCATAATAGATAGGATCATCTGTGGCTCTTGTTTAAATCATATACATATAGTACCATTCACTTTGACGAAGCACATGAATTTTTTTTCCAAGGACAATTAATCTAAGCTGCACATGAGTCCTCATTGTTGGAGACTACTTCTCAATTAAGATATTACAAATATATACCATAATCGTTTCATAGTTGTGGTCCCTAATATATCCATCTTCCATAGGCACTAGGCCGTCGCCAACTAATAATTTAGTCGTCAAAAGGTAAGGAATTGCCGACCAATGATTTTAATTGCAAAAGTGTAGAATTTGACGACCAATTATTTAGTCACCAAATGACATTAAACAATCAGTATTTTTCTGTGTACCATTTCTATTTTTTTTTTTTTATTAGCAAAACTAGAGTTTATTGATAACAATCAAATTTATAATAAGATCATTATAGCAATAAAAGATAAAAGAATGGATGCAATCAACATTATGTCCAAATTTATCGACCTCAACTAAATTGGCACCTACAAGATAGCAAAATCACTTGCAAGCACCACATCAAGAAGTTGGTGAGGGGCTAAACACAAGCCCAAAGGCAACCCACAAACTGCTCAAACCACTCATATGCTGCCGCAATGAAATCCCAATAGCAGATCAAATGTAATCCCTTGTCTGTGTACCATTTCTATGTGAATGGCCCTGTTTCGTAGGATTTATTTCTACCTTATTTTAATTTTTAGCTTAATTTAAGTTATTTTGATGCGTTTGGTTCAGCTTAACAATACAACTTATAACTTTTTGTAAGTCAAAAATCAACTTAGTCTTTGAGTGGGAGAGGAGAAGTTTAATTTATAAGTCAAAAATCAACTTATGTTCACAGTTATAAGTTATAATCACACTACAAGAATTAACACTTTTGTTGACCAAAAAATTGGTCGCTAAAAACCCATTTTTGGTCAGCAAAAGTTATCTGCGACCAATTTTTTTGATCGCTACTTTGGTCGCCAATTGAAGGTCGGCAAAAGTAATTTGCGACCAAAATTTTGATTGGTCGGGAAAAGTTGGATTTGCCGACTAAATTTTTGGTCGCTAAATATATCATTACCGCGACTAATTAATTTAGTCGCTAAAACACTTTGGTCGCGAAAAGTAATAATTTTCCGACCAAATATGTTTGTCGCCAAAAGCAAAAAATCGGCGACCAACTATTTTCGTCGCCAAAAGTTGAGGAATCGCCAACTAATAATTTAGTCGTCAAAAGGTAAGGAATTGCCGACCAATGATTTTAATTGCAAAAGTGTAGAATTTGACGACCAATTATTTAGTCACCAAATGACATTAAACAATCATCGACTAATTAGTTAGTCGCCAAATCTCTTCTTTTTTTTTTCGCGATTTAACAATCAATTTTTGTTTATAAACATTCAATCCAATATTGAACAAAATTCATTCAACCCAACCCAAATATAACATTAAAATTCATCATATTTTCCTGCTCAATCCCAAACTTTACAATCATTCCATTCAAAACATTAATGCTGACAAGTTTTAAACATCCATCCATTGAAAACCAATAAGTAATTGAACAAAAATTAAAAGGAAAATCAATGAAAGAATCCAAAAAAATTTCTAAAACAGGAAGGAATATATATGGTTTTGAAGCATCAGCCTTGTGCTTGATCGTTCTTTTCACCAAGCATGTTCTTTTCACCAAGTATTAGCCTTGTGCTTGATCGTCCTAAAGAACCACCAAGCATGTTCTTTTCATGCTCAAATTCATCCTTGAATGCATTCCATAAAGTCATCCATTGAATAACCTCCTTGTGACAGATAATGAGAGCGGTGAAGTGCTGTAAAATAAAATGAAATAAGATGATTATAATGAGGTGCAGACTTTCTGTTTGAAAACCAATGAGCTGAAAGGGCTCAAAATGGGAAGAAAAGATAAACAAAACAACATTAGACAACTTGCCTTTCTCTTCTCATAGAATTCAAGTCTTAAGTGGAAGAATTCTTCAAGAACTACAAATCAAAAGAATTAAAATGTAAATAACCTGAAAATTTGATACATGATTAGAGGTTAATCTGAACTGGTGTATAGTACAATCATACTCTGTTCAGGGGTTTCATATTTCTTAATCACGCCTTTTGGGTCGAACAGATGCATGTTGCTTGTGCTGATAGTTGTGGTGAGTTTAAATTTCTTTAGCAAGCCCTCTTGCTTTCCCATGATCAAGTTCTCCTCGGACATAATAACTTCAAAGTGTACGGTGGTGTCATCTTTGTGCTCTCTGTAATCCTGCAACCATTAAAATCTATCATGAGACTCCAAGCACCTCAGAGAGAGAGAGAGGTAAGCCATAGAGCTGATTGCTTCCACAATGACTGTGAATGCACTCTCACACTCTTTTCTGGCCAGCTCTTCGAGCCATCTTTGGTGTAGCCCTTGGGTCCTAGAGCTTAAAATGTAAACAAATTAAAGAAAATGACTCATCACAGAAATTATCCATAAGCCTTGAGTCATAAAAGTAAACTGTTTATTCTAGTTCACTCAGCTCCTTGAATGAAATCTCTAAAAACGAATGAATAGGATCGGAGTGAATTGTAACTAGGAAACTGGAGATGACACTTGGTGGCATCCACATGGACCACAAACTGTAGATGCATTAAGAATAAAAGGTCCGAAATTGATATATTATATCACCAATCTGATCATCCAATCACCTATACCGCATACTGATAGTTACAATGAATTGGCAGGCATTGAAGTGCATTACAATTGCGTTGGTGCAAAATATAGTAAGGTAGACTGCATTTGGTTTAACCTATGTAATGAATTTTTTACTACAATACTTGGTATCTGATGTGTTAAGACTGGGAGTAAGAAAGCACTATACAAAAAATGAATTACTTCTAATTTAGCATGGCCTTCCATTTCATTCTGTTGTCGCTGCATTGATATTTTGTGGGTTATGAATCATGGATTGAATATCCTGTTTAGGTTTTAAAACAAGGCACAGATGGTTATAAAGGGAATTGAAGATCATACCTTTTCTATAAAATCAATGGTATTACTGTCTGTAATCTTGTTCCCTTGTTGATCAGTGACATGAAATACTGTTAAGAGAACTGAAACTGGTCAACTATCTGCATGTGTGTGTGCTTCTGTGAGAGAGAGGGAACGTGGAGGCCATAAAGAGGGCACATTTCCATAAGCTCCTTATTAGTTTTTTTAACTCATTGGTGCATGTGTATGATCATGGGGATGCATATAGGTTCCACGACCAAAATTACCATCAAAATAATAATGCCAAATTCACTTGTATATGGACATGCAGCTTAAAATTCATTCTTCGGGTTCAATGAACATCTTCACATGAACCTTGATTAGGACATGAGTGATCAAAGTGAAAACCAAGCAGTGGAGACCATATGCAGAATGTAGTTAATTTGGCTAATTTAACAAAAACAGGGTAGATTTGCTCACAGACACACAAAAGAAAAGATGCTAAAAATGTGTAGATTAAAGAGAGCTTATTGCAAACATGATGAGTATGCCCTTTTTACAAGCCTTAACATTAAGGAAATAGCAAGTAAAAGAGTAAACCCACCATCCATGAACCATCCACCATCAGAAGAGATGTAAGCCTTGGTGATGGTGAGGTCAAGGTCTGTTAGGATTTGTACCACTTCCAGCAGTATTCCTGGTCTGTTCATGCTGTCAACCTGACATACATCCCACAACCTTCATCTAATCATTGCAACAGAAAACTAAATAATAAAGTGAAGTGTTAAGAGTCTGAATCTGAACTAGAAAATAAGAGTGTTATTGTCAATGCACCACATAATAAACATGCAATTCGGTTAGCTGGTAGGGTCTTTTGGTGGTGTTCCAAAGGTTTGGGTCTACTACTCTCTGTGGGCATGAAAATTGTCATTAAGTCCACATCTTTCAAGCCTCCAACACATGACCTCCACTTACCACCTCACAAAAATAAAAATAAAAATAATAAATAAATAAATAAAAATAAAAATAAAAAAGGGCTAGAAGCAGTGCCAATAAAGTGACTAAGGCCGCTAAAGGACAAAGGTTTGGCCAAAATTGCAATCAGTTTAGCTCATAAGTTTATCATGTTCCATATTATTCAATGGGACACAATAAAGAGAATGTTGCTATGAGACAGCTAAGTTCATTATAGAAATATTGTGGCAGAGACCTGATTTCTTTATAGAAATTATGCTTAAGAATCCACCATTTTGACTAAATTGAAGGGTTCCATCAGTGTGTATTAGAACACTGATCAATGAACAATGAACTCATGAGGATGCATAAAAAGGAAAGCCATTCAAACCCCAATGCTCTTAATCACTGAAATCAAACTGCAATACATAAAGTTTTTTTTTGGGTACAAAAGGTCAAATCAAAATATAAATGTAAATAAATAAAAAATAAAGAGATGTCTGCAATAGGATACTGCGCAAGCTTCTATTATGATGCATCACAAACAGTATTGAAAAAGCATCACAGATGTCAGAGGGTTCTTTTTATTAGATTAGATTTTCAATCATATCAAATGGAATCTCAATTTTATGGAACAGACTAAATTGCAAGCCTATGAAACTGAAGATACCAGTGTGTCAGTGACTGGTAAAACTCGAGCTTGGATTGGACATAGCCACAATGGAAAATCTCCAGCATAATGCTCTATGAGGACTCCAAAGAACCGCTCCAAGGATCCAAGAACTGCTGTGAATCATGATAGGCCTCTTCTTCTTTGAGTTTGAATCAACATATGTAATGTCAAAACGCTGCGGTAAATTAAAATCAACCTGTCCACATGGAAAAAGAAAAATATTTTTCCATTAGAAGATCAGTGTTTCACCACCAGTAAAGACCGAAGAGAACATGTGAGAGAAAACAACATGACTGTGATGACATACTTGTGCTGTAAATACCCCCAAACAAATTATAAGCCAATCATAAGTTCTGGACTTGCCTGTATGGTTGAGCATTGCCACTTCCTTCCAAGAGCATCCTCAATCTTGAGATCAATCTTTGGACCATAAAAGGCACCACCACCTTCATCAACCTGATAGCTCCACCCTTTATCATCTAATGCATCTTTAAGGGCAAATGTTGTTTTTTCCCATATATCATCACCTCCCACAGCTTTTTCTGGCCTCGTTGAAAGGTTCACTTCATACTTGCTAAAACCAAATTGCAGTAATATTTCTTCTGTGAGATCTAGGACACCCCTGATCTCATCTTTGATTTGATCATCTAAACAAAATATGTGTGCATCATCCTGCAAAATCAATAGAAAGTGAAATTATAGATATTGCAAATACCATGATTTACAATGTGCTTATTAATGATGCCACACTATGAAAACATGTTGATGCCCACAGCCCATCACCAACAAAGTTAGCCATGCATCTGCCAGCGCTACTGTCTTGACGTGGTAGCATAGGGCTTCAACACTGGTTTGTCAAAGACGCTGACTAGAGTCATAAAAATATAAGCCTCGACTTGACCAAGCATCGGCCAACCCAGATGGGTGTAATCCTAAGTAAATGTGCTCCCCAATGATACAATCAGCAGGTGGTTTCATGTACTTCAAAATCTACTCAACAAGCAACCTAGATGTCTAATCGTGATGATATAAAAGATTTGAGAACACAGACCACAGATCTGAAACTAGTATTTTATCTGAAGTGTCCATGAAACATGACATAATTTGATGTCTCAAATCAACTTTGACAATTACCAAAACAAACAAATACCAACTAAAAGTTTCCAGATATAAATCTAAGAAATGAAAATGTACCTGAGTGAAACCTCTTACACGGAAAAGGCCATGTAAGCTTCCAGATAATTCATATCTATATACAGTTCCCAGCTCCGCAACCCTTATTGGAAAATCCCTATAAGAGTGAAGCTTCCTTTTGTAAACCAAAATATGGTAAGGGCAGTTCATTGGTCGCAGCTGGTAAAGTTCTTCCTCAATCTTCATCTGATCATACATGTTCTCTTTGTAGAAGTCCAGATGACCACTGATTTTCCAAAGATCTGCCTTTGCTACATGTGGTGTATACAACAGATCATAACCACGCAAAACACACATAATTGGGATTATACATTTTCATATCTATTGCAAAACAAACATTGACGAGAAAATTATTTATCTCACTAATCGAACTATATAACTAATCATATACTAATCTCATGATTGTTAATCCACTTACTATTAATCCACTTAATCAAACAGGCCCTATATGTATTCATCAACTATCTACGACACAAACACATCAAAAAAAACATTTAAATGGCAAGAAATATCAAGAAACACAAAAGCAATAAAAACCCAAAATCCATATATACTAAATTAACGATACTAAACCTTGTTTTTAACACCAGAAGACACGGCAGCTCCGCCTTCGTTCATTTCAGCCTCCTGCTTGGCATCAACCTTGAGATCCACAACAATGGTCTTGCTCTCCAAATCCCAAATCTTAATGCTCGCCTCTGTAGCAGCACAGAGCCAGTACCTATTAGGGCTAAAGCACAGAGCATTAATAATTGAACCCGAATCGAGCGAGTAAAGCTTCTTTCCCTCAGCCAGATTCCACAACAAAATAACCCCATGTTTCCCACCACTCGCACACAGCGACCCATCGGGCGACACGGCCACCGTATTCACATACCCAGAATGCCCAGCAAGCGAAGCCCTAATCTTACAATTGGTCAAATTCCAAATCTTCACAGTCCGATCCCAAGACGAAGACATAATCGTAGGCTGAAGATTATTAGGGCTAAATCGAACACAACTGACCCAATCGGAATGAGCATCACCATCCTCAATAGTGTACTTACACTCACCCAAAGTGTTCCACAGCTTGATCGAGCGGTCTCGGGAAGCAGAGACGATTTGGCGATTATAGAAGGAGAAAGCGATGGAGAGGACATCTTTGGAGTGGCCGACGAAGCGGCGAGGCGTAGAGTGGGCACCGATTGAGAGGAAGAACACAGAGAGGGAGAGGGCGGACCGAGAAACAAAGAGAGAGGGCACCGATTTGATTTTATTTGATTTGATTTTTTTTATTTTTTTCTGATTTCATGGTACAAAACGACGTAGTTTTAAAATTAGCGACCAAATTTATTTGTCGCAAAAAAATTTTAATTCCCGCCCCACTAAAAATCAAATTTCCCTCCCAAACTTTTGGCGACCAAAAGACCATATTAGTCGCAGAAAAGGAACCTTCGCCAACAAACTTTTTTAGTCGCCAAATCTCAATCAATGGCGACTAAAATATTAGTTGCTAAAAATACTAATTTGACGACTAATTTTTTTTTATTGTTGAAAATAAGTTTACTAATATGTGACCTTCAGCGACTAAATTTGAAGTTGGTCAGCAAAAGTATACCACTTTCTGCGACCAACTCATTTTTTAGTCGCCAAAATATAATCTTCTGCGACCAATAATATTTGGTCGTCAAAAATAATGATCATCCGCGATAAATTAATATTTGATTGCTAAATGTTATTTTTTTGCGACTAAAATTTTTTTGATCGACAAAAATGATCCGCAAATATGTAAATTCTTGTAGTGTCACTTTCCCACCGGTCTGCTAAACGGGCCAATATCTTTTCTGATCAATTACTAAGTTCTTAAAGGCATTTATTTATTTATTTTTTAAATGGAACATATAAAAATCAAATATTATGGTTGTGTTAATGGAATTATCAGCTCTGTTAATGGTGTGCCTGACTAGTAAGACCATCTTCAATTCTTCATCTTTTGTTTGATCAAATTTAAATTTAATAAAAAAATTGTACAAAAGTGGCGTCCAACGCTTCATCGTTTGTTTTATCAAATTGAGAATATTTCAAATTATTTTATTAAATTGAGGATGTTGAAATCTTTCACCAAATTATTATAGATAGTCGTTAGCTCTTGAGCCGCGGCTGGCCGCCCAGATCCCCTCCGGTTGTCTCCCGGTCGACCACCTCTTTGCAAATTTTTTTGAACGATTTACATTAGCCGGTTGATCCCCGGTTATCTTCCCGATCAAACAATGATTTAATGAAATCTCAAATCACTTTATTACAACGCGCGATATCAAATCAAACTTTTTTATTAAATTTAAGTAAAAATTGATAAAAATTTTTTTTAAGAAAAGCGTTGGAAATACTCTAAGGTAATTTATTTAGTAGTTGCAATGAGAGAACACTTTAAACTTCAATTTTTATTTTTAGTGTTTTTTTTAAGGAAAGAAACTATCAATTTTTATATATATCAAGTGTATTAATGGAGCTATCATTCTCTATAGCCTGACTCAAGCAGAAACTTAGGTCTCGTTTGAGAACCTTCCTTTTAGTTAAAAAGTCAAAAAATTACTAAATTAACCAAAAAGTTAACAACTCATACCAAAAAGTCAAAGACTCGCCTTTCTCTCTATTTTTTGTACATCTTTTCGTAAAAAGTCAAAAAGTTATTCCAAACATACTAATTTTTTTTAGCTCATATTTTAACCAAATAACCAAAAAATTACTAAATTAGTCTGTTCCCAAACAAGGCCTTAAGGTTGTTTTGACAAGTTACAATAACAGTTAAAAAGTAAATAAAATAATCAAAAAGTTAAAAAATTATATAAAAGTTAAATATTCATTTTTTTCATAGTTTTTTTTCATCTCATATTTTAGTTAAAAAAACAATTGCTTATTCCTAAATCAATTTTTATACTGTGTTTGGTTGGGGGATTTAAAAACAAATTTGAAAAATGAAAGAAAAAATGTATGTGAAATTAGATGAAATATAAATATATTTTATTTATATTTCACTTACTTTTTCTCTTTTTTGGGGGTCAAATTCTTTCCCAAATCTTTCAACCAAACACAATATTAGTATTTCAAAACTTTTTTGGCTGAATCAGTATTTCAAAACTAATTTGAAATAATGTATGTTTTTTGCTGGTATTATTTCTGATCTAAATTTTGTATAAAAAAAGGGCTTACAAACAAGAGATGTTTGGTTTCAATTTTCTAAATTTAGTTTTTTAAAATTTAAGTCTTTTATTTTTCATATGTTTTTATTTTTAATTAATATTTTAAAAATTTTAAGCAATTTTTTTATTTTTTTAGATGTACCTTACTTAGATGTATCTAAATAATAAAATATTTATGAAAAAATATTTAAAAAATTAATAAATACACAAAAATATGAAAAATGTACTCGATTTTCTTCTTTTTTTTATATATATTTTTGGTATCTAGTGAATTTTTAAAAAAAATCACAAATATTATACTTTTTAAATGTATTTATTTTATGTGTGTTTAAAAATTAAAAAACTTACTTAAAATATCAAAAAAATTCAGTAAAAACAAAAAAGTATAATTTTCTAAAAATTGAAACCAAATCGAATGAATTTTTTTTTTTTTTTTGAGAAATCTCATTAAGGGGTGTTTTGAAAAGATACTTAAAAGCTAACTTTTTAACTCTTTTAATTTTTTTCACTGTTTTATATGAGAAGTAATGTGACTCATAACAAATTAAAAATTAATTTTTGATTTTTTTTTTTAGTTGCGAAAACACTCCTAATAAGTAGTGCCACTTTGAATTGTTTTTCACAGCATACAAGTAATCATAAGACAATCACCTGTATGAAGAAGTACTTAAAACAGAGTTGAGCTTTACCATGGAAGCATTATTCTCTACAAAATATATATAATGGAAACAATATAAAAAGAAAGTATGGGTGTTCGTAAAATGTTTTAAAAATATTTTTGAAGGGAAAGATTATAGTGTACACTATTTAAAAGATGTGTATTGTATATATTTTATAATTAAAAAAGATGATATAATTTTATATTTTTTAAGTTATAATTAAAAAAATTATAATCAAATATCACATGAGACATAATTAAAGATTTCATGAGTCATAATTAAAATAAAATTATAATTAAAGAAGAAAAATAATCACACTTAAAAAAGAAAATGTCATAACTAATGCTGCCTATTGTAAGGGGTGTGTATAATAGAATTTTCTATTTTTGAGTTATCATATTATTTTGTGAAATTATTATAGAAATGAAAACAATAATATCTTTTTGGTTATTTGTTTGCAAATTTCTTTAAAAAAAATAAAAAATTAGTATGGTGAAAAAAAATAAAATAAAAATAAACTTATCAATTTTACATAATTTTATTTTTGAAAAGAAAAAATACTTTTTAAAAAATTTAAATTTAAATCAATTTTACATAAAAAAATATTAATATATATTTTTATCAAATTAAATTATATTTTATTTAAAAAATAAAAAATTTCAGAAAATCATATCATTATTTTGTTCTCAATTTTTATCCATTATTAATTTTTTCGAAAACATAAAAAATAAAAAATGACAACAAAAAAAAGAAGAATTTGATGTGCATACGTTTCACTAATTTCCTCTCTCGCTCTCTTTCTTCGCGGTCTGCTTCAGTTTTTAATCTCTCTCTCTCTACAATTGTGAAGGTTCTCAGTGTTGGTTCGTATTAATTCGGGTCTGAAAGCTCGGGACTTGCAAAGGAAAAAGATACAATTGTTCGTTGATCGAAGCAAGGAGGTCAAAAAATTTTAATCTCATTGTATATTTTGTGTGTCAAATGAATTTAATTGTATTGAATTAGGGTTTATCAGAACTGATTATTGTTTCTCTTTGATCTGGGTATTTGTCTGATTAGTTGTTTTCGTGTACTCTCTGTAATTTGAGTGCTTTTTGATTGATTTTATACACCATGACTTGATTAATTTTTCAATGCATTGCATGAGCTTTGACTCTGGTAGGGTTCATTGATCTAGGGTTAGATTTTGATTGTTTTGTTATTTTATGTAAAAAGTGCGATTTGCTTATCATTTGATGGTGCCTTCTTGGGAATAGTTATTTTTGTTTAATTTTGAGCTTAAAGTTGGAAAGCTTGATTCCCATCTTGTTGGGGATATGAATCAAAATTTTGGATATAAGTGTGACAAGGAGACAATGAATGTGTGTTCAACCTCCTCGGTTCTAGTCTTTCAATTAACTCATTTGACTCTCTCTCTCTCTCTCTCTCTCTCTCTCTCTCTTGTTTATTTATTAATAATATGCACACATTAGCCAGTTATTTGTGAAAGTCACTACTCCGACATTGTTTTAGAATATATTTTTGAATGTTGGTTGGTTGTAAATCTCGAGTCAAAAATTAACTCTGAGAAGTGGTCAGATAGTTTTTTAATATTTTTTCAAACAGTAAAATTCGATTGATGGGTCGTAATGGCCCTGTTTGGTTCAGCTTCTAGCAAGTTAAAATCTAATAATAAAAAACAAAAGTTAAAAGTACATCTTCCTCAGCATTCCGGTAATTAGTTTTTTAAGCATAAGCTATAATTGGAAGCTAACTAAACACTCTGGCACGCAATTCCAAAATAAAAGAAGCTATCAGCAGAGCTTTATACACTGCATTGAACAAGGCCAATAAAGTGCGTATGCGCATAACGTGTTCTACCCTTCAAGTGTATGTATATGTATGTGTATATGTGAAATTAGTTTTTTAAGCATAGCTATAATTGGAAGCTACACTAAACACTCTGGCACGCAATTCCAAAATAAAAGAAGCTATCAGCAGAGCTTTATACACTGCATTGAACAAGGCCAATAAAGTGCGTATGCGCATAACGTGTTCTACCCTTCAAGTGTATGTATATGTATGTGTATATGTGAATGATAACTGTATCGTAGTGTGATCCTTCCTAGTAATGTAGAATGATACCTTTGTACTTTTGTAGTTTTGATCAAATTGTTTAGTTTGGTCACTTATTGTTCACCATTGAGGGTTCTTTCTTTGTTATTTTTCAGAAAGCTTTGGTTTGATTGACTTTTAGTGGTCCATTTGTATCAAAGGATGGATTTGATGTCTGGGTACAAGGTATTTTCTGTCATTAGTCTGGGTACAAGGTATTTTCTCTCATTAGCTTGCTATTCAGCAGTGTTTACTATCTTCTTTTGATATGGATTTTTTCACAGTTAGTTTTTCAATTGAGAACTTCTCGTTATTGTGTATTTGGTTTATAGTATACATGTCTTGGAATCCATTT